AACCTGGTATAAAACTAAACTATTATTAGTTCTGTTCCAATGAGAGTTAAAAATAGATCATTTATTTATTTAAAATAATTATTTTAAATATTTTATATTGCATGGAATAACTTTGTTGTAATCAAATATCTAATAAATAAAAAAATATTTTTCAAAAGATCACCGTAACCCTTTCTTAAGATTCGTGCCAAGCACTACATCCTTTTTATAATATTTTGTATTCATGGAATTTCTTATTTATTATAAATAATATACGTGTATGAAAATGGACATTTTCGCAAATAAAGTCAGCAACATATTGCTTTGAAAATGTGTGTGGCATTCTAAATAAATGAAATCCAATTATTTAATTGATGTACAGACCTTCGCTGAATATTTATACGAGCTCTTGCGATAAATTACTATTGTAACGTGGATCAGTTCCTTTAAAAATCTTAACCATAAAATTTCGAATAGTTTTTTTCGAATTACTTTGAAAGATGAAAACCAACAAATGGACTCAATCTATTTTCTAATGTCCTTATATTTCTATCATATATAAAATACTGTAATATATAGTTGATGCTATTTTAGTTTAATGAATCCTTTTCGCTATAAGCCCATAGTTTATACAAACTGTATATACACGTTATCCAATTTTATAACTAATTTTACTATTATAGCCGTCAAATATACAGAGAAAACAATTGGTATTTTATATACGTGTCATAGATGATATATTGACGGTAGTGTGATTATACCATCTATAAGGGGGTCATATCTCAGTTATGGTTGGTAGTTAATAATAATCGGGCAAACGGAAGTAAAAAAGTATTTAATAAACATTTAAAACAGTGTGGAACAGCACGTGCTAAGGGATAAATAGTTATGAATAGGTCTCTATTACTCTGAATACCCGGCGAACTCCAATTTTAATTAGACATTCCACGATAAACGGAATACGTCATCATTGATTTTCTATTCTAAAATTTTATCGAAATAATTTGAATGAAATAATAATTTTCAATGATGAAATAATAATTTTTGCTACTTTGATGGCATCAATTCTGAACAAGTTTGTACTAAGTTGTACATGAGCCCATCGTCTTCTTCTTTGCTTGCGAAAATAGTGGACGCTGATCATACGGTCGAAATCACAGATAAAACAACAAAATATTATGGATTTTGTGTCTTCGAATTTCGAAACTGCTCAATCTTCTGATTCCGAAAACATCAAAGTAATCTCACAGAAATCCCATCTTACTATCGCCGGTGCCAAACTCAAAGTTACTTTGACCACCACGAAAATTATTTACTAAAGTAGAGTATTAAAGTAGAGTGCTATGATATGTTGCAGCAACTGACGAAACAAAAACAGGGTGGTACTTTGCTGGATGTCTTCAATCAATAGCAAACACAGTCATAAGCTTGATTAGCCGTGCAATTCTGTACACCAAAGTTTTATTATGGAACAACAAGTTACTGATAGGAAAGTAAAAACAGAGTGGTAGTTTGCTGGATGCCTAAGGTCAATGGCAATGGCTCCGAAGACAATCTTTAAAGGACTGAATCAGCCATGTAATTCAGTGGATGGAAGCTTTATTGTGGTATTAGTCTGTCAACAACTTGGTCCCTAATAGAAAAATAGTTTGTACCGAAAAGAAATTTCTTCTGATGCGATACTCCATGAAACCGAAGGGCAAAAGAGCTAGTTCATCTGTACAATTAGGATAGGCCATCTCTCTTCAGTAATATAGAGCCGAGATTGATGGTAGGTCATCTAAAGAGTTATTCTGACTGTTTTTAAATAAATATAATACTATAAAGTTTTATAATAGTTATGACAACATAGCTTCATTAAAATAAAAATTCAAGAACGATAAGATTAAAAAACGATAAGAGAGACTTGTCTTCATTTAATAATTAAGATGTACTGATATGAAAATATATATCACCTATTGTAAAGAATCTTAAAGGGATCTATTGAGTTTCAGTATCATAATTTTTATATGATCTTTTTCTCATTATAATTAAATTCTCTAGAATCATTTATAAGATAAGAAATAAATAAGAAATTAATCATATTTAATTCGTATAACAAAATTTGTAAAATAATTAAGTTCATTAGAAAATATAAGCAGAAATGATTTCTCAAAAACCTTAATTTAAATTTTAGTTTAGTTTAGAATTTTTACATTTAATAGTTCAACTTTTCTGTGTTCCTACAAAAGATAAATCGTATTCTGTTTCTTAAAATGTTAATAAAAATTATTATTATTTCCACAATATAAAATAGCAACATTTATATGTCTTGACACAATTGCCTTGAAAAGATCCCACCACATTCGAACACAAGCAAATGCACATGTATATTCCCCAGCCCAATAAAACCAAGAGGCATGACCCAAAATGTTATGATTATTGAAATGAGCATAAATTATGTAAAGCAATGCTAAGGAATCCACAGGAATAGAAATGTGCTGTGGGTATTCATGCAGAGCGGACGGTCACATGTGAATTGTAGCCTAGAAGTCTACAAAGTATGGTCGTAAAATCCCAATTGTTATGAATACAAATTTTTATGTACGATAACTACTTATTCATCTATTCGATAATGCCATAATAGTATGCCCAAATAAGACGCAGGGCAATGCTTTGCTATTGGAAGATTCCTCACTATTTCATCTTAATTACATTGCAAATATATTTTATGTGTTGACATCTTCACCAACAACCGATATCACTGATATAGCATCATTGTACTGATAAGCACTTACTGATGAGAAGAATTTTTTGATAAATTTTTCTGCTATGAAAACATTTTCTTTAGGGTTGATTATCCTTTTAGATTTTTATATGCAAAGATGAGGAAAGAGACAAAATTATTCACACAAACAATAATAAACATTTATGTGATTTAAACGGGATATCTAAATCTGTCATTGCTTTGCCTTTGTCTAGAAATCAATGCAATTATATGAAGTAATTTCAGTACTGAAGCTGCAGCAATATGTTGAAAACATTTTTTGTTCTAAGTTTTTCTATGAACATTAAAAATGTTTCTTTTTAAAAAAAGTCACAAGTTTAAATTAAATTCTTGTGGTATAAAGTTCTGAAGCTACCTACTAGCCAGTCTTGCGTACATTGACATGAAGATATGTATTCACTTTAATGAAACCGAAGTCAACGCACCCTCAACTCAACAAGTCCAAAGGCGCATTATTAAGAGGAGATTATGTAATTAGTCTGCAGCTGATTGATGAGCGTTGGCAACCCACTTTTCCAAGTGTCCTGTGCATATCCTTCGCTTCATGAACGAAAAACGAAACACGAAAAATAATTTAAATATCTCACAATTATCAAACTCGAAGGCATCAGTAGTAGCGACAATGACGAAACCAACAGCATAAACAAACAAAAACAAAATCTCTCATTCCTCTACCTTACTTCTACACAGATTTAACTTTTGTCCAAACCGTTCTCTCCACTTCATCCACTCCCATTAGTGTGTTTCTTTTGTTGAATAGCCCAAATGAATCTATCAAGGATATGCAAATTTTCTTAATTCGAAAATGATTTTTAATAGGATCGAATGGAATTAGTTTATTACTTTTAATGAAATTTTTATGTTTATTTGTCGCGCGGGACGCCGGCAATACAATGAATTCTCTGCAATTTGTTTGATGCAATATATAGAGTTTTCACAGTACTGAATATTCACTTTTTTATTAGAAAAAACTTGATTCAGTATTAAAGTTTTCTGGATTTTCTTTCTGAATGATTTGGACTCCTTGCATTTCTGAAATTGTTGGATCTTTTTAGTCCACGTACTTAAAGCATTTATTATTTCTAGAATACAACCTTATTTTGTACTTAAAAAGATTTCCTGCAAAGAATAAACAAATTAATGTCATTAATGCACCTATTATGTTTTACATATGTATGTCATTTAAATGGTTTATAGTCGTTTAAATATTTATTAGTCATTAACATTTTCTAATTATTGCAAACTGAAACCTATCAATGATAATAAATATGTTTTGATTAGTATCTATATAACATAAGACACATGCCTTTTTTTGGAGTAAATGAAAAGAACAGCAAAAGTCACAGTGTGAGACTTGAACCTACTAAAACCCACCACCTCTTAGGAATGAATATGGAAGATTGCAGCCGCGTGGAGATACAACCCCATTTCAGTAAAAGAAAAAATGGAAAAAGAGAGAGACATTAGGGCATAACATCTAGCTGACTAGGTTTACCTAAGCTAGACAGCTTGGGCGTAAAGCAGGGAAATCGGGATAAGACACACTCCCTCTTTATGGGGTAAGTACTTTCATTTTTAAATATCTGATTTAGCCTTTTCTATAAATAGCTTATATTTTTGTACAAAAGTCATCATGCTTAAAAAGGCACATCATAAGTAAATAATAAAGATATTACACGAAAATCCACTTCCATAACACATGAACCTATAGTAAACTCAATAAAAAATCAACTAGCCACATGAGCTTAGAAGAAATAACCACGATATAAACATCATTCATTAGTCTGTTTATTTCATTTAACAATAAAATTTAATTGATATTGTTTTTGCATACATATTTTGGAAATATTTAAATTTTTTAAAAACTATGTTTATAATATGATTGTAAGGTATATAAAAGCCATGAGTATAAAATACTGAAGATGAACCGGAACCGTAAAATAAAATTCAACGATATTTGAGAGAGTTTTCATTGTTCTTTACTTTTGATTTATAGTTTTCTAAAATCACCTCAAATATCATATATAATTATTCAACAACATGAATTGGCTATATTTACGAGTATTAAATAAAATATTATAAAATTTTAG